GAGGTCAGAACATGGCTGCTCTTGCTGCTGAGATGCTGCAGGAAGGACCATAGTGACAGAGAGATGCTGTTTTTGGTGGCAAGAACAGTGTTTCGAGTGGGATTATTCAGTACTCTAGGCACGAACGCCGTCTTCATGGGTTCAGACATGAAAGTGACTCAAAGCCCACTACAAGGCCAAAAGCCCAAGTGGGATCCAGGTCTTGCTTCCCATGTCTCCGCCATTCGGACTTGGAGGGGGTCTCAGCCCCAGACTGAGGGCCTGTCTGTCTGTCTGTCTGAGAATAGCGCAAGAGTCCAGGCCCCATCCCTAGCTAGGCACATACCACAGGCAGCACAGGGACAACACAGGGAGTCTGCGATCTGACACACACAGGGGTACCCTTCCCTCTACACATAAGGCTCTCAGAGGGTTCGGCCTGGGAAGACCAGACATGTTTTGGAAACTACTGCGATGCCACTGGCCTGAAATGTTCTTGTCCTTGGTGTCACTTGTGCATTCCAAGTGTGAGCAGGGCTGTTCTAGCCTCCTTCTTATGCTCTTAACCCAGCTCCCCCAGCTCTAGAGCTGCTTTCAAAATTTCTCTTTGTCACTGAGTTACATCCTGATTTTTTTAAGTTTCATTGTTTTATTCAGGAATGTACAACGTTCTGATTTTTTAATTTAATTTTTTAATGTATGTGGTTGTTACAAGGTCTCACTATGCAGCTCAGATTCATAGTGATCCTGCTATTTTCAACCTCACCAGCACTGGGATTACAGCTCTGCACCACTACGCCCAGATGCTGGCAGACTTATCATGCCCTGGGGGCAGGGATGGATCAGCATTTGGTGCCCGGATTAAACTGCATTCTCTGCACTTGCCTAAGCTGCCACCTTAGTCTGCTGAGCTATCTCTCTGGACCTTGATGTTTATGTTTTAAATTGTATCATGTTCCCTCTGGAGGGAGGGAGGGAGGGAGGGAGGGAGAGGGAGAGAGAGAGAGAGAGAGAGAGAGAGACATCTATGTAATTTTTATGTCTTGTCTATGAGCTTTGTGTCCCTAAACCATAATGAAAGCATCACACTTTTCTCACTTTTCTACCTAGTTCTTAGAAAACTACCTAACATATTATAAGTTAAAAAAGAAGATAATTATTAATTAATATTTCTATCCTATTTGTCACAACATAAAACTACACCATTATCACTGAACTTAACTGAAGAAAGCAAAACCTACAGAGAAAACTCCACCTACATAGCCAGACCTGGTAACTGTTTACCTTTAAAAGTGAATTAACATCCCTGGGAGCTAACGAAAGCAGAGAACATGCACAAGAGGTAATTCTAACATCATGAAGTGCTAGAATTTCTGAAAGAAGATAGAGCGGGATTGTGAAGAAAAGTTCACGGAGAACTCTCACAGGTGTGGCCACAAAAGCTGATGGCCGTGTTGTCGGAGCGCAAGAAAGGCTGAGCTGCACCTTGTCGGACAGCGCTATGAGGACAAAGACAAGCAGGGCCAGGCCTGACCTCATTAGGTTCGGGAGTGGCACTGCAGGAGAAGATTCAACGGAATTCACAGCAGACAGCTCAGAAGCAGCCATCGACTATGAGGCAAGAGGTGTCAGAGGCCATGTCCCCGGCTTCTGTGTGTGGGTGAAGGGACGCCAGGAGCATCCCACGTGGTGGTTGCTGTGACAGTCCGGGTTGGGCTGTGACATAAACCTACCTGGGGACAGAGATAGCAGAGAGGTGAGTGTCTCAAAACAACCAGTGCAGCCTTCTCAGCTTCGTGCAGGACATGAACTTAACTCATGCAATACAAACATGCAGTATACTTACTATAGAACTGCAAGATGTTTTTCATTTTAAAAAAGTTGCTCATGGACTAAGTGAAAAGGGAAACTACTTTTGGAGATTGAGCCCTTTGAAGTAAATTTCCAAGAAAGCAGCCTTTAGGTTTCTGTGGGCAGTTATTAGCCTAGTCTTGGTTAGTAGTGATTAGCAAACCCAACTGGCACAGTCACATTGGACAACCTCCTGCTAACATCCTCCAGTACCTTCCCACCAGCTACCCCAGGGTGAGAAACCTTGCAGGCCGTATGTTTCCTGGGAGTTGATCCAGCTTCCCTCCCTGTTGCAAAGCCTTGACCCCAATTGCATTAGTCTTATAAATTTTTCCTTCCCATTTTTGAACTGTTTGATGCAACTTTTCTTGTAAAATTCGGGAGTTTGTGCATTCATTTTCAAGTTGACCAATTACAGTGATGTACAGTGTGAAGCTTGGATACATGTCTACATTGTGAAGTTATCAAATCAGGGTATTAGCATAACCCCAATCTCCTACATTTATCACTCAATAGTGATGAAATACCTCAAATCCTCTCCTCTATTTCTTTGGAAATATAGAAGACATTATTATTGACTACAGCCCTGTTATTGAGCAACAGTCACCAGGACTCATTTCTGCTCTTAGCTGTAGTCCTGGGCGCCCCATCCAGCCTCTGCTGACAAGTCCACATTCCATGTCCAGTCTTGGGTAAGCGCTGACCTGTTCTCTATTGCTCTTGTGGGCGTATATTCAAGATGCGTGATTACATTCATCCTGGAGAACTGTGCAGAGAGACACCACGTTGTAAGCATCTCTACCTCTCCTTCCCCTCTGATTTTCCCTCTGCCCTCATCCCCAGATGCCCTCGTTCTCCTCATCTTCCCCTGCTTCATACTGTCTTTTATTTTGCTCATTGAATTACTTATATTTTGGGTTTGTCATAGAAGAGTACCATGTGATGTTTAACCTGAGTCTGATTCATTTCACTTAGCTTTATGGTCTCAAGGTACATCCATTCTCCTACAAGGGATTTAAATTCATCCTTCTTCATGGACATCCGCAGCTGTAGAAGCATATACACTCATCCGCTGATTGAGGCATAGGCCCCTCCCAGAATTTATTCAGATGCTGTGAATTGGAATTAAAGCCCTCACATTATGGCCACACACCCACGCCATCTCCTTCCCTGAGATCCATGCTTTTGCTTCCACAGCGAAGCAAGACGATGTGGCATTTACCTCTCTATGTCTGTCTTATTTCACTTAAGATGATGTCCTCCACCTTTATTTAAGTTGTGCAAAATGACAGGATTTCATCTTTAGATGACTGACTAGCACTCTACTGTGTATGTGTGTGTACTTGTGTGCTTGCATGTGTGTGTGTGACACACATGCCCATACTCTACATTCTCTCCAGCTACCACCTACCGATGGACACTTAGGTCGATGACATCTCTTGGCTACTGCAAGCAGAACTGCGAACAGCACTGCCTCTTCCACTTCCTGGTCTGTGTTTTTCTGCGCCATGTGGCTGAAGCCTAAGGCTTGAGCCTAGGAGTCGTGCTGCTTGGCTAGGCTTCTGGACTGCTTCCTTGCCCCTCAAAGGCACACAATTTATTTCAGAAACTCGGAGATTCAGGAGCAAAGTTCTCAGGTCCCGTGCGGTCTGCACCCACCCCGGCTCCTCAGTACTTTGACCCCACACGTGGCAGTGACGCTCCTTCACCGCTGCCCAGGCCTCTCCCCCGCAGCGCTCACTCTTGCCACCACCTGTCTCTCCCCTCGTCCCGCTGACTCTCAGCTTCATGGCCCCAGCTCCTGCCCTGAGCCTCTATGCCCTCCGTCCTCTCACTCAGCGTCCAGCTGCCCCTTGCGTCCACATCGGTGCTGTGTGTCTCCTCACTATGCGACACAGTCCTCGGGGGCCTGATGCCCTGCTGCACCTGCGTAATTACATTCTGCTCTTAATTTCCTCCCTTGTGAGGTGAAAGCTCTGGGTTGCGTGGTCTGTTCCTATTTTCCACATTTACGATGGACATCAGGGGACCGAGGAGAGGAGCTCCATTTGCCACTTGGTTGTGTCTATTCGTGACACAGTGCTTCTTCCTTGAGGCAGATATCATCAGGGATCCAACACCGCCCTGCCGTGAGAGCAGAAGACACAGCCACTCTCAGGGCCACATCGGCCAGCCACCAGGACTTGGGCCAGCCACTGAAGCATAGATATTTACTGCCTTGGAAGGATCCATTATCATTTTTCCTTTTGCATAAACTAGGTCTAGTGCCCTCATCCTGAGAAGAAGGATGATGAGAAACAAAACCAAGAGTGACCACATGTGCTGTGGTGTCCGCGCTGGTCTTGCTAAGTGCAGAGTGGCTCAGAAGCCTGACCTGGGCTGGTTTGGGTGAAGAATCTTGAGCAGACCCCCACAGGTATGGCAGACTGAAGCTAACCTCCCGCTATAAGTGCAGCGGGAGGAGCCAGGCTAGGGACATCCAGGGCCCATAATTCCCATGCCCTGCTCTTACGGCACATGGCCTGGGTGCTGCCGCCCACTGCTTTGTCACTCACCCCGGGACCAGCCAGGTCAGGCAGCCTTTCTTCCCTCCAGGAGACCACTTGTTGCTGCAGACTGAGCTCTCGGGGAGAGTCCACCAACACCCGTCCACAAGCCCAGCCCACGCAGAAGCCATGCAGAATCTCACCTGGGCTGTCCAGCAGTTTTGATATGGCCCTAATTAGGCCCCCTGTCTGAGGACACTACCTGGGAACTGGATTCTAATTCCCCCTCCGCATTCCCACTGCCTTGTCCATCCTCATCACAGTAACAGCATGAACTGTGATGTGTGGGCCAGAGGAGGCTGCTGCCCTTAAATGCTTCCCTGCTCCAGCCACGCAGCCCAAGCCACGGACTTGAACACCAAAGGGTGCACTGCGTGGAGAGTACTGAAGAGACAGTGACAATCACCTGCTGCGGCCAAGACAGGATTCGCCGAGAAGGTGAAGAAGCCCCTCGGGCGCTGTGGCATGACCCAGGTCCACACCAAGTTGCTCAACTCCCCTTGCACCACCACTGGTTGGAGTATGCAACAGACACTAAGCTTGACGAAAATTCCAAATGAGGACACCTTTGCAAGTACCTTATAAATATGGGAAGTCTATCCTGCCACCAAGCAGTCGGTCCCTTCTTGACAGCTGGGACACGAGACTGCTCTCCGACCACCTCTGGGAGTGCTGCCCTGCTCTGGGGACTGTAAGTAAGAAGCACCTCTCGCGCTGTCGCACTGTTCCTCTCCTGGAAGCTGAGACCCCATCTGACCCCAAATGGAAGGCTGCTTCTGGGAGCCCCTGGATTCCCTGAGGGACTCTTCTGTAGGGGACCCTTGTGGCCCCTGAATACAGGTTCTGCCTGCTGAATTCAAAAGACATGTGTGGGTTTTGTTCAAGGCAGAGGTGACCTCTGTGGCCTGCCGAGATAAGCAGCAGTAGCCTTGTAAATACTCTTGTGCTGTGCAAAGTGTCTGTTGTTTCTTTGCATGCTTCTTTTAGTCAGATTACTTATGTGTGGTGCTGTTGAGTGGTGTTGCTTGCCTATATACTCCCTTGTCAAAGGACCCTCTGCGAACTATCCACCGCTTCCTGCTCTGTGTTTTCTTATTTTTCTCTCTAGAATTTATTTTTTAATTTTATTTTATTGAAAAACAAGTATGAATGAGAAAGTTTCAAAACTGATTAATAGGACAGTTTCAATAATTAATACATTGCACATAGTTATCTTCTTAGTGGTTCTCCATAGTACAAGAAGCAGACAGAATATCCTGTCCAAACACTATTAGTACAAATCTTTCTTCTATCAAATTAAGCAAAAGTAGCTGTATATCTAAACTATTCTGCATATACAGATACAAAATCGTCCTTCCTTTGTATCCTCTTTTTTTTGTTTAGTCCTGTCAGAGATGGGTATTCCATTGGCATCTAAATGCCCGTTGTGTCCTCTGCTGGACACAGATTTCTGGTCTGAGGCAGCCCCTCCCGTCTGCCGCTGCTCTCTTGGCCAGAGCCTTTGGCATCCTATGCAAGCAATCACTGCAGAGTTCCCAGTCCAGAGTTTTCCTTCTACATGGAATGCTCAGAGCTGTATGGCTGCAGGTCTCAAAGAGACAATTACTGACCTCACAGCTGTCCTGTTTGGATATGCAGAGTAGGACCTACCAAGTCACAGGGTTGTCTACACAAGTTTAGACACACTTATTTTCCAAAAGTAGTGAAAGAAAGCACCATTACCTTTACAGTTAAAATGTAAATATGCAAGCAAAATAGTAAAAATAAGAAAAGATACCATTAGCCATCATCATTATGAGCTTGAACTAAGACAGCCTGGGAACACACAGGCAAGGCCTTGCAGAAGCCACGAGTTCACGGCACACCCAGGGACACTGCAGGGACGGCAGCTCTCGCCCAGGCCGTCAGATGCACGCCTCCCTCCTGCACCCGCTGCCTCTGAGCCTGCTCCTGGCAGGACAGTAAGTACGGGCTGACTCCTCGCTCCCCACACAACAGAACCCTCCTCTTCCTCCCTCCAGGTGACTCCAGCCATGAGGACCCTCGCCTTCCTCGCTGCCAGTCTCCTGCTGGTCCTGCTGGCGCAGGCTGAGCCTCTCCAGGGAAGAGCTGACCAGGCTGAGCCTGAGATGCAGGGCGTGGAAGAGGACCAGGCTGCAGTCATCTCCTGGGAAGAAAGGCCTGCTCTGCAAGATGGAGGTGAAAGAGGGCGACAGCACACACGCAGGGAGTGGACAGCGAGGGTGGAAGCAGGCTTGGGGCTGGGTTAGATTTAGCCGACTTTATTTCACTTCCTGTACCTGATTTCCTAATTGAAAATTAAGAGCTAGAGTCTGTGAAACTTTCTTCAAGAAAAACTTGATTCCCTGACACTCTTAAGAAACTCACTAATCAATATGTGAAGAAGCCTACAGACCAGCTCTGTCGGAGTCTCAACGCAGAGTTAGTAGCAGGGAGAGTGTTTCCTTCCTGTCTACTGGGAGGATCTATAGAAACTGAAAATGTGTGTGGGGCTGTGTGCACGTGACCGTGTGACAGGCCAGCAGCAGGGAAAAGGAAGACATGTGAGAATGACCGAGGCGCTCATGGCCCAGGTATGATCCTGCGTGTTTAGAGCCACGTTGCGTCTCTTCATTCCGCTCTCCCTAGTGTACTAAGCTGAGGCCACACCCCCCAGCAAGGACCTTCTCAGGACGTGCTTCACATCCAGGGCTGTCCCCAGAGCTTGACGCCCGCTGTTTTCCCTCTGTCCCCAGGTCCAAGGGCAGGCCTGATCTGCCGTTGTAGACAGACAAACTGCCGTTCTGGAGAACGCATCCTGGGAGTCTGCACTTTCCAGAATCGAGTCTACAGATTCTGTTGCCGCTAAACATCCAGGAAAAAAAATGAAAGTATGTTCGGGGCCTACAAGAGAATTGCTGTTTCCTCTGAGATATGTCTTCCAATATTTTCTTTCCTTAAATAAATCCCTGTGGAAGTGCTCTGTGTTTGTCTCCTTGAATTTTCCTTGTTTAGCTTCCTGAGGACTCCGATATGCAATTACAATAAATCTATTTACCTATTTATCTATTTGTTTATTTTTTAAAGAGAACACAAAATGCTAATAAGAAGCTAGAGATGATACAGAATTTCACTTCTAAATCAAGCCTTGGCAACAAATCCTAAGAATGCTGAGAGTGACCCCAGAATTCAGGAACAAAGGAATAAGATTCAAGGAATGCTGCACATCCCACCAGCATTTCTGCATTGTGTACAAGAGGTCTCATAGCAGGATTCAAGCTGGGAAAATTGGGCTGCCTGAGCCAGGTTCCTATAACTCCCATGGAGCTGGTTTTGTGTCCTTCACATAATTATCATTACTCCCAAGTTGGGAACTGGATTATTTTGGCACCCCTCTTCCAGCACCTGTCCTTACCCAGATTCCGCTAGCCCCTTCTATGTCCCTGTGTTCTCTCCCCAGATTTCACTTTGTCACTGAACTCTGTCCTGATTTCCATACTTTCAATTGTACCACATTACCTATGTTGATCTCTAAAGTTTTTTTGTTTTGTTTTGTTTTTCTGCACAGAATTAAAATCATGCACTTCTACCCTTTGCAGTTGCAGGATTTGCAGAGCAAATCTTCTTGTAACTCAAAGGAGAGCCCCATGCTCTGCTCACTGCTGCCTGTGCCGCCCACGCAGCTCCCACATACGAGGCTGGTAATGGCAAGGTTGTGGTTCTTAAGTCAGTTTTATACAGTTTTATTTAACTGCATGGATTTACATTATTATAGCTAAAATTGAAAATTACAGAGCTAAAGCAGAACTCTCTCCAGTTCGTAGGACAGTTTACCTTTTAAGAACCAATTGAAATCACACAGACCTAAATATAAGATAATAAACAAACGCTAATATCAGCTAATAAATAAATATGACTTCATGGAGATTGGAAACTTAAAATAAAAGAAGAGTGTGGCCATAAAAGATTTCTTGGTGAATCTTCCTTCCAACAGAACAGAAATGGATAACTTGGGTGGAGTGGAAGAAGAGGTAGAAAATAGTGTAGACAGAGGTAGAGGTGAAGGAGAGGGACATGCTGGGTCAGGATCTGGCTCCATCAGATTGGGGAGAGGTGTTGTGAGCCAGCAGGAAGACATGGATTTCCCAGAAGACCCTTCAGAAGGCCACCAGAATGACATCCCTGTCCACTCATGGGATACAGAGACATCAGGAGCATCTCATTTGGTGAAACCTATAACAATCTAGTTTATGCCATCACACATGATAATTCTAGGAAGATGTAATAAAAAATAGAGCAGGAAAAAATCTCCAAAGGTGCAGGGCAACTTGAAAACCTCCAGTATGCCCAAAAATTCAAAACTGCCATGCACATAGATTAGATAGAGAGATAGATAGATAGATAGATAGATAGATAGATAGATAGATAGATAGATGATAGATAGATAGATAGATAGATAGATAGATAGATAGATGACATTTGACATTTTTAGCTGAAATGAGCCACTCATGTGGAAAGATAAAGAAATAAAAAGAAAGCCAGGAGTGGATTTTTGCAAACGTAATTGACTCACCCTCCAGCAGAGTAGGAAACCTGAGTTCAGCGAACCACTTCCCGCTCACAGGCGGACTGAGGCCGCCGACCACCCTCCCCCGGAAGTGCTCCTACTGTCCCAGGAGCCACTCAGTGCTTACATCCTCCGCTGCCCCAATGCAGCGGGGCTGGACTCACCATCTTTACCTCTTGCAAGCTCGTATCCTCCTTGCAACATTCTGAATGAGGTTTCCCCCCCACTTCAGAGGTGATCGGCCCAATATTGGTATTAAATACAATATATTGGCTTATTTAGTTTTTGAGTTAAACAAAAGAATTGTACGAATTAACCTTGTATCTTGTAAAGCGTAGGTGTACATGCACATTGCATAGTGATTGATCTGAGGTAACTAGAAAATTTATCACCTCAAGCATTTATCACGTGTTTGTAGAGAGACGGTCAGAATCCCCTCTTCCGGCTATGTTGAACTCTGGAATACACCAGTGTGGGCTACAGTCATGCCATGCAGTAAGCAGTACACCAGCATTCCTCTTACCTTTAACTCTGTAATTGTAAATCAGCTTTTCTTCAGCCTCTCCCCACACCTGCCTCTAGCCTGATTATTCTACTCTCAAAGAACCCAGAGCTGGGATCAACTGCTTTAGATTTCATATATAAGTGAGATCTCATGGCCTGTCAGCAGTTGGTCATCTGACTTCATATGAAATCTTCTGGGCTGACCCACACAGCTGCAAATGAAAAGCCTTCCTCTTTTCTCCAGCTGAGTAGTATTCCATGGTGTATATATTCCACATTCTTTTTGTCCATGGATAAATTCACTGGTGGACCCTGAGGTAAATGGCATAGCTTAGCTGTTGAGAATAAAGCTACAAGAACTAAGGAGATTAATGAAAAGGCCCAGGCGGGGGGAGGGGCACACATGTGGCAAGACTAGTCCAGAAGGGGTCCCCAAGGACCCACAAATGACTGGACAGGGGCACACATACGAGCAGGCCATAAGCTTGATGAGTCAGTATTGCACTTCAGCACATAGACTCTCAAAACAAAGGAGATTAATGAGCACAAACCCCTCTGCAAACTTGGCTAGAGCCTTGATCGTGTTTCTGAGATCCCACCTGGACTGACCACAGACCTGTGGACACCAGAGCAGTTTGGCTACATTTATCTTCCTATGTTTCTTTGATTGGTTTTCCTGTTTTTGTCTTGTTAGGGTCTTTTATCATTTAGTTTAGGTTTGTCTTGTTTTTTTTTTATGGTTATTCTTGTTTTGTGATTCCTCTTTTTTCTTTGTCATTCTTCCCACTCTCTTCCATGAATTAGCTTCATTACCTTCCTTTTGGCTTTTTCTCCTTCTCTTCTTTCCTTTGCCAACTATCTCACCTGATTTTATGACACTGTCACGTATACAAACGTTGTCTCTTCTCTTGCTGGTTCACTTCAATACTTCTTTGCTTTCGCTTGCATTCTTTCCCTCCTGTGTCTCCCAGTTTCCCAAACCCTGAGTGATCATGTTCTGTCCTCCAGCCTTGCACTTACTTTTTGGACCCCATTCATCTCCCTGTCCCATCTGCTATTCTTCTCACCCCAGCCTAACATGCAACAGGGTAAAATCACTTTACTAGGGGGAAAATCATTATACAGAAGTTAATGGCATATGCTGGATGGTCTTATGTAACTGTAGATTTTGCTGCAGATTTAATAGTTAGCATAGTTTGCTTGTAGGCAGGCTGTGCAATAAGACTATTGTCACTGTTGACTGTATGACTTTAGCCAGAATGCCATACTTGTTATAATCAGTTTTTTCCCCATGTATGACAACTCTGTGATTATATAGGGTCATTAACATCATCATAGTCTAGTACAAAAGGATTTAGCCCTGAGTCAAATAGACAACTAATTCTTATCCTCAGTTCACTGGGAGGGCAGATTCCTGGGATAGACATAAAGAGCGAGAATCACCTATATCTACAAGACATCCCTAAGGAAAAGACGTTTCTGAAGGAAGCCTTGATACTGGAATAAAGCTGTTTACCACAAGAAATCTACAAGCATCAACAAAGACAACAAAATAAAATAAAAGCTAGAAAACAGAAAATGACGAGACACAGAAGTAAAGCACAACCTGAAACCTTCAGCCCATCCAGGACAAGACTAGAGCCCAATGAAATAGAGGAAATGAGAAACCAACCACTGGAACTCTCTGAAATGTTATCAATAGAAGCGAAAAAAAACTGGAAGAGGCTAATAGAAAAACGAATCTCAAAGTACAAGAGAAAAGATGATCAAAATGACATATGTTAAGGCAGCCACATTAAAAAAAAAATAGAGGAGCTCAGTAAAACAATGGAAACAATGAATGTCCAACATAGAAAACAAAATTGGAATTCATAGAACAGATCCAAATAGAAATCCAGGAGATTAACAACTCCACTGAAAGCATATGTATCACCAGCAAGATAGCTCAGAGGACTAACTACCTGCTTTGGCAAGCACAGAGACCGGGGTTCCAGCCCCAGTCCCACATGCCCTGCTGGATGCAGTCCCCAGGGCACGCTGAGCCAGCAACCCAGTCTGGGCATGGTGGCGCATGCCTATAATACCAGCACTGAGGAGGCTGAAAATAAGAGGATCACTACAAGCCCGA